TGCAGGCTCAATCCCCAGGCCCAGTTGGGGCACATGCAGGAGGCAATCAGTCAATGTCTCTCTCATATCGATGTTTTTGTCTGTCTCTCCTACTTCCTTCCACTTTCTCTAAAATCATGGGAAAAAATACCCTCTCGTGAGGATTAACGAAAGGAAGGAAGGAAGGAAGGAAGGAAGGAAGGAAGGAAGGAAGGAAGGAAGGAAGGAAGGGAGTTGTATTTAGTGGGGAGTTTCAGGGCTTTGAGATGAAATGGTTATGGCTGCACACTGAATGTCCTAAGTACCACTGAACTATACACCTGGAAATGGCTAAGATGGTAATTTTTATGTGTGTTTTACTTCAATAAAAATTGGAAGAAAAACAAATCATGGCACTGTGTCTGTAAAGTAACAATTCTATGCTCCGAGAGGCCACAGTTCGATTCCTAGTCAGGCATGTGCCCAGGTAGCAGGCTCAATCCCCAGTAGGGGGTCATACAAGAGGCAGCCAATTGATGTTACCTTCCCACATTGACATTTCTCTCTTCCTTCCTCTCTCTCTAAAATCAATAATAAATTTTTTAAAGTGAGCAATTAAATATGGTATCCTGAATTGCCTAAAACAGAAAAGTTTATTAGCAAAAAAATGGGCCAATAGCTTGTAATGTACTTAATACTAATGTACTAAAGCTAATTTCTTAGTTTTGACATGTATATACCATGACTACTAAGATTAGGGAAACTAGATAAAGGGTATACAGGAATTGGTTGTACTGTCTTTGCAAGAGTTCTCTAAACTAACATTATTCCAAAATAAAAGTTTCTTTTAAAATGAGTTTTAAAAAGCAAGCAACTTTAAACAGTTAGAATTCCTACTTAGAAGACAAACACAACACAAATATATTAAAATTGTCTAAGCAAGCAGCAAAATATGAACACCCATAGATAGCTACAGGTGTGGAGTTTTATTTTTATTGTACTGTTCACTGTTGCCTAGCTATTATCTCATGATCCACTAATTGCAAAAGGCAGGCTGTTGAATTTTGTATTGCAGTACTAGTTCCTTAATGATCTGGGTGCCTTTTTCCACTTAGATCACACAGGTTTCTTACTGTGGATACAGTGTCAACTTCCTTCAGCCAATGGATGATTTTACATCTTTGGGAAGTTGTTGTAAGTTTGTGAGCATCCTCTTTGGAGTCAATAATGAACCCAGGCAGTACCACTCAGACCATCCGGCCTTGGCTCGCGGCCCATCTTCCCGCTTCCACAGGGTGCACAGAATGTAAGCTTGTCTGGGAGCATACAGGCACCTGCACACATGTGTGGGTCACTTTAGCCACTGGAAGCCCAGGTTCAATGTGCTGTAGTTGGAGGAAAAAGACCATGAAACTTCATCGGTCACCAAGTGGTGGGAAGCAACTGGTAGAAACTGCTTGCTTTATTCCGAGTATATTTAAATACCAGGCTCAGAACGAAGTGAAAACAAAGCTTTACTCAGAAAGACAACATGAAACACTGAGGTTTTCTTTCCCAGCCAGCTTCTCTTCTATTACAGGCCAACTATGTAAAAGCTGATATGACTTATAGACGCGTAGGAAATACACTGTCGCTTTTAACTACTCTGCCCAAGGGAGAAATGACTAAGGGCATTGTCTCTCCTTTCCTTCCCTTCTCCGAAGCCAGCAGTCTGAGCATCGAGGGGCTACAGCCACAGGTGCGAGGAGCTGCAGCCACAGGTGCCAGGTGCTAGGGCTCACAGGTGCAGCTTGCATTTCCCTCCTCCGCGACCTAAGGTCAGATAGTTAGCCTGCTTTGACCACAAATAGAGCTCTTAATTTCTCTAGCACAACCTGAACTTGATATGAGGCACTTACACAAAGAATGGTGCAGACAAGAAGGCAGCTTTATTGTACTTTGGGGGGAAAAAACATGATTCCATTTAGGGAAGGGAAAAAAAAAAGCCATTGACACTGAGTGAGCAACAGCGCCATCTAGCGAAAGGGCACACCACCAGGCTTCAGAGACCAGCCAGGAGCTGTGAGATTTGCTGGTGTAAATTTTCACCACAAAACATCAAAGATAATTAGGTCTTCAGAGAATCTAATTTTAAGAAACGATTTTTATCTTCGAAATGCATAAATGTTTGTGCTTTCTCTGCTTTTCTGAGTAACAAATGAGTTTTGTTTTGAACAGACCATCAAATTAAGCCTCGATTTCAAAGTTATGAAACACTGGGGCAACCGCCTTTGAACATCTATCACTCTTGCACTCTTGTTCAACAGTCTAATAGCAACCCCTGGTAATGACAGACAGTTCATAAAGAAGCAAAACGCCACTGTACAAGAACTACATTGTTTACTCATTTCCGCCTTCTATTTTTACAGTCTAGGGTGCTAAGTATTTGCACTTCGCTTATTTGAATTCCTGGAAAAAAGCTTTAGAACGTGCCAACAATTTTGCATAAATCACATAACCCAACTCTTATTGTAACTACACCATGACAGCGGGAGACACGGGCGTGAGGAGGTGGGAGTGTCGCTCCTAATGAATAACGAAGCATTCTTCTCAAGGCTTCAATGCGCCTTTACACCCAGGCGTTGCAGTAAACGTGTTGATTTGATGACTTCTATGAGCATATAAAGGGGAATATTTAGTGAAACACCTGGCTGGGAAAAGAAATGAAGTTGTAACAATAACATATTGTTTAAAAACATCAATCTCAGATCGGCATCTCTGCGATTACTGAGATATTAGATTCTGGGTTAAGTGCTCTGCTCTTTGGAATATCCACAATGGTTACTGACCAGCTAATGAGTTCCTGCATTGCAACATGTCTGGGTATGTGGTGGAGGCACTCACAGATCCGAGAATGCACGAGTCCGACACAGTCTTCATCAACCCATATGCTTGGCAACTAATAAATTCAGGGGAGGATTTTAGGATGAACCAAGTCCTGGGAAAGAGGTATACAAGTGTAGGGGAAGAAGTGGAATTAAAATATCTTTAGGTTCTGTTTTTTTGGTAGACATAACTGAATGTTTCAGTTGTGAGAACCTGAGATTGTCCAGAAACACAAAGTTCTGAGTGTAGGACGTTAGCTACCACAAAGGCTGAGCCAGTGTTTTGCATTCCCCAAAGCAACGTGAATTGGAGAGTGGGTGGTAGTCCCTGAAGTACTGTATCCCAGTGAGGTGGCTCTCTTGAGGGCTGGTCTGACTGCCTCCGTGTTCACAATTCACAGCCCCCCGCCCCTCCCGGGCCCTCCTGCAGCTGCATCCTCCACAGAATGTGACTAGTGGGGTGTCCCTGAAGTCAAAGCAGTGCAAGGTGCTGGGAGACTTTCATGAACTCAAACCTGATACTGAAGTCATCTCCAAAAGAGTTTATTAGCATGATTAAAACAGTTTCTTGAATAAGGACAGAAAGATGTCTAAACAGGACAGAGTGCCAGTGGCTATACCTTAGAACCAGTATCTGCAACTGAAGGACACCTTCATTGCCAGCCCTCACTTGATTGGAAACCATCCGCATGTGCTGTTCCCATGAGAAGTCATGACTATTGCTAGGACTGGCAAGGTGTCCCCACTGCAATGAAGTATAAAAAATATCTCCTGTAATTGGAGTGAGACCTGCATACTGAGTAAGAGCTGATAAAATCATCAAAGAGTTGGGTTGTTTTTTTAAAAAAACATTCCTTTTACACACTACGAAGAAATAATTAGTATTTTGGCTTTTTAAATTCCTACATGATCTTTAGCCCGACAGTCCCCAGCTCCTCCCCTGCGTAATGGAGAATGCAGACCCTGTTCGGTTACACGGGTTTGAGAACAAAGACAGCGTCGTCCAGGACGTAGTAGTCGTTGTACATGTCCCCTTCACACAGGTACGGCAGTCTGGTGAAAGCCTCGATCGCAAAACCCGCTTTCCCGAAAACTTCAGGCAGGCTGTTCACTTGCTCTTCCCAGTTCTGTCCCTTGATTTCCAAAATTTCTGATGGCTTCTCCCACTTGCCACCTACTAAAACAAATAAAAGATTAAGTTAAATTCTTGAACAAACGAGTTGTTTGAAGGGGGGAGGAGGGACGAGTGTGCCAAGGCTGGGTGCTCTGCTGACTCCCTCCCAGGCTCCGAGGTAGGGGACAGAGACAAGGAGCAGACTGAACAAGGGGAGGAGCCCAGCTTGCAAGGCCAGTGAGCGCCAGAGCAGGCGGGAGCGTCGGGTTCTGCCCCAAAGTTCACCAAATACTGGAAAACTGAGGCAGGAGCAACACATGATACTGGAAGGAGGGTTTTGGATAAATACAAGAAAACACCACTGCTGTAGTAAACGTACGCAATGAATTAATTAGAGAGGTTTATTAGGCTGAAAATAAAACTAGGTTAATACAGGATTTTAATTTATAAAAATAAATAATTAGTGTGCTTTTCAAGGGAAGTTGATCCACTCTCTAACTTTTCTTTTAAAGAATATAAGAATCAGTGATTGGCGGCCTCCTGCATGCACCCAACTGGGGATCAAGCCCACAGCCTGAGCATTGAGCCCACAACCTGGGCATGTGCCCCTGACCGGAATCAAACCTGGGACCCTTCAGTCCGCAGGCCAACCAACGCTCTATCCACTGAGCCAAACCAGCTAGGGCCACTCCCTAACTTTTCAAAACAACCTTATAAAGTAAAGCTCCAGGACCAGAGACAGAGCGAGAACGGATGTGTCCCGCATTCCCTGCACTGACGCCATGTCAACCACCTCATCTGAGCATCACGGTGGGGGGGGGGGGGGGGTGTTCAAGTTCACATACATACCAAGCATCGACTAGAGAGAGAGACACACACAATGTAAATTCAGGTGCTTGTAGATACTATGACGATGTAAAATAAACACACAGAAATTAAGTGTTACTAAATTCAGCTGGAATAATGTGCTGTAAACGGGAAACTCTGTCACTGTCAGTGCCAAGAGCAAAAGCCCTGCAGTGGGAAGACGTCACAGGACGCCCTCTCCTGCCTTTGAGCTCAGACACACTCGCTGAGCCCTGGCAGGAAGAGCTGGTGGCCCAGGAGTGAGGGCGGAGCCTCCTGGGGGGAGCGGGGAGCAGTGGCAGGGCGCCAAGGCTGGGGCAGCACTGGCAGGTGCTTGGCGGTGGTGGGGCTTCAGATCAGCTTGATGGAGTGACCGGGGCATTTTTCTTGGCTGCAGCCAACAGGCAATTCTGCCGTCTTCTCAGTGGCTCTGTGACCCCCTCCATCCTTTCCTTAAATTCCCTTTTGCTTAAGTCAGCAGAGTCCATTTCTATTGTTTCAGAAAGAATCTGAGCACGGAGGGGGGCAGGGAGCAGGGCTGGGAGGGACGGGTGACAGGTTCCACACACCTGCTTCACTGACACATTAAAAAGGGGTCACACAAAACTGGGCTCAGCTACTTACTGGCACAGCGTGTTGTTCATTATACTGAGATGTGTTTGCTGTTCACTGATCTCTCTCTGTGGCGATTCCAGCGGTGACTCCCAAGACCGGCAAAGAGACTGCGCTGGACATTTAAGTAATACTCCTTCCCGGGAATACCCACACATCAAGTCTCACTCACACCATCTAGCGCCTAAGAGGCTTTGCGAAAAGCCAAGACAAATGTATCATATGAACACCTAGACATGTGCTCTAGGCTAAAGTCTCAACTTCAAATGGCGAAACTGCATTACAAACAATATTTACACAATTTCAAAAAGTTCCTGATTATGGTTCCTTAATAAGAGTTCCTCTCTTCAGTTCTTCCTTCTAAAAAGAGGAAAACAGGGCAACTCTCTTCAAATACACGTCCCCACCCCCACACACAGAGATGGAGGCTGTGGACGCGGCCAGGGCCCTCCTCGGCCTGGAAGTCGGTCTGCTTCTGTGCTGTGTCGGTAAGCTGCTTTTTCTCCTCCACTTGACTTAAATCAATTGCTATTTTTTGCCTAATGCATTTATGTTTATATTTTAAGCCCCTACAAAATAATTTTAAAATGTGTAACATTACAGAAATTGTCTAAAGTGGTAAGTTTCCTTTTCCCGGGGGAAATGGTGATAAGAGAATCGCTGAGAACGTTTCATATTCGCACTGGAAACTTCCCTTTGCTGTTAGCTGCTTCACAGAGCGCACCGCACCGAAGGGTGAGCTAGTCCTACAGCTCCAGGTGCTGGCCGTCAGCGACAGGGCTCCCAACCCCACAGGGTGACAGTGAGCGCTGAGCACAGCCCTGAATGTCTTCACAGAACAGTGCTTCTGAAAAGCTGAATCTCTATAAAAGAGAGGGACTACCGGGGGGGGGGGGGGGGGGCGCGGACTGCTTCAGCTCCTTTCCCGAGAACAACCACCCTATCACAGACCTGAGTTTAAATTCTGCTGCTGCTGCTTTCATCCATGAAAGAAAGTGGCTCCCACCTCGCAGTTCTAATCATCTCATCATAGTCCTGATATAATGATCTCAGTTCTGCCCACAAAGTTTGGGTTGTAGGGCAGAGAAGGCAGCAAAAGCTCTAAAAATTAACTTTTTTCACCTGTTAAAAATAAATATAAAAATCTTAACAGTGGTTATTTTGGGTTAAAGGACTCTATGGGTGATTTCTCACTTCCACTTTCAATATCCTATTGTTTCTATGAGGTGCACCTTATGTCTACCAGTTACTTTACGGTAACTGGTGTGACTGTAAAGTAAAACCCTGCTCTTTTAACGATGCTCCCTGAAGGGGTACAGACAGTGCCTGGGAGCTGCCTAAGGGGGAGTGGGCGCAGGTGGCGTGGCCAGGGAGCTCGCTGTGCCAGCTCCTATTCCGCATGCTCAAAGCTGTCCCTGAGGGGCTTTCTCCTTTTCAAAAATTCGTTTTTAACTTATTTTCTAGTTTTGTTTTTAAAAATACTAAAGTAACCTTTTTAAATTCCCTCCACCAAGGAGATAAACTTTCAACCCTTTCAAAGGGTACTACATTTAAAATATCCTACAGAACATGAGAGCTCTTAAAGGAGCAGGCTGTGTGGCACATCATCCCAACTTCTCTTTTTTTGGAGATGTTGCTTAACTGGGACATGAAGAAACAGAAGTTTCCTCACAAGTCTGCTCTCACAACTCCGGAAACCCTACCACTGATTTGCTTTCACGCAGACTCATTTTGCAGAACTGGAAATAGGCGGAGATATAAAACTCCAGAATTGCAAATAGTTCTTTTATCCTGGGCATTAGTTCTCCAAGGAAAGTGTTAAAAGCTGGCTTCTCTGGCCCTGGTCTCCTGCTCCGTGGTTAGAGTGTCAACCTGTGCATAGAAGGGCCTCGGGGTCAATGCCCGGTCAAGGGCATGTACCTGAGTTGCAGGTTCGATCCTTGGCCCTGTCGGGCATGTGTGGGAGGCAAGCAATCGATGTCTCTCTCTCACACTGATGGTTCACTCTCTCTTTCTCTCTCTCTCTCCTCCTTCCTCTTTCTCTCCTTTCCCTCTCCCTGCCTACCCCTCCCTTCCACTTTCTCTAAAACTCAATAGCAAAAATATCCTCAGGTTAGGATTTTTTTTAAAATGTATTTTTATTGATTTCAGAGAGGAAGGAAGGAAGGAACATCAATGATGAGAATCATTGATCAGCTGCCTCCTGCATGCCCCCTACTGGGGATTGAGGTGGAAACCCGGGCATGTGCTCTTGACTGGAATTGAACCCGGTACCCTTCAGTCTGTAGGCTGATGCTCTATCCACTGAGCCAAACCAGCTAGGGCGGGTTAGGATTTACAAACCAAAAAAAAAGCCAGCTTCTCTTTTAAGAATTCCTTCCCACAAAGGACTTGGAACTGAGACACTTTGTTAATCTGTTACATTGCAACAGGCCCAAGTCCAACTCAAAGCCTCCAAGATAAAATGGTCACTGGCTGCAAGTCAGGGTTCTGCAGCGTCACGGTGACGCGCGGGCAGGAGGCGCGCGCCGCTGCTGGGCCTGTGCAGCCTGGCCGTGCCAGCGGGTGCTCGGGGTGACCGCACCCTCTCACGTGGCTCCCAGCTCATCTCCAATTGTACAAATACTAAACTTAAAAAGGGGCGAGAACAGCTTTGCCTCACAACCAGGCCTGTAATAAAGTGCAAGTGAACAAGGCCCGTCCGACCTCGAGCACCAGACCAGCTGGTCCCTCTTCCATTTCATTTGCAGACACAGACCAGTTAGAAACATCAACCAGGCAGAAGTCAGACTAAAAATAGGCCAAAATAACTCGAATGTGTCTCAGCCAATACTACTCCAGGCAGAGCTCACGCCCCCACGGGCTGTGGGCAGAATCTCCATTTATAAACCCCTGGTGGCTTCCCAGCTGCACACGCCGGGTAAGGTGGAGGCAGGGTCGCCCTGCGTGACGGGGGCAGCAGCACGCAGGTGGCCGGCACGGCCGGGTGTCCAGTCCAGCCTGCAACACCCGCTGGACGCCCGCGATTGTCTCTAAAATGGCGCAGAAGCAGGGACAGTGGCGGCGGCGGCGGCAATATCTCGCTTTTCTTAAATACTTCCTAGGGCAAGCAAGTAAACATCCTTCTGCATCCAGGGTCTCACTCGCCCCTGAGGGGCAGAACGCTACCCCCGTTCTGCTAGTGAGGAGCTGAGCCACACACCAGAGAGCAGGCAGAGCCAGGACCCCTCCGGTCTGTGCCTGTTGTCCCAGTGTTTCCATCCGAGCAGCGACGGCGGCCGGGGCGAAGCCGAACTTGCTGGGCCAGGCAGGCCTGGCTCGTTAGGCCTCTGCTCAGCACCCGAGCCAGGGCGGCATTGCCCCAGGTGTGCTTCTCGCCTTTCAAAATGTTGCCCACAGGAACAACCCAGCTGACAGAGGGGCAATTGTGAAGGCCCACGAATTCCTAGTAATCCCACCCCCACAGGGCAAAACCCCAAATGCCTCCTGCTCACGTGGCTCCGTCATGGCAGCAGCACCTGCATGAGGGGCTCTGATCCCAGCACCACGCTGGACGTGACAGTCCTGCGAGGCCAGGGTACGGATGGGGAAGCAGGCTCTGAGGTCCCAGGGCAACTGGTCAGTCAGTCCGCCGGGCGTGACCACGGGACCCCGACCTCCTGATCGGGCAGGGCCGACCCCACTGGAACTTCTCTGGGGCTGTTCCAAGTAAGCAGACGTCGCTGTGAACCAGCAGGTCAGGCCAGGAAATGGGGAGTTAGGCAAAGTGAGGGCGCTGGTGTCTTATTTTTTCAGTCGTTGGTGCTGAGCGTAAGGTAAGAAAAAGAAAGGTGGGCTCTCTGGCCCACAAATGTCAGCGAGGTCCAAGCAGCGCTGTCTTCCTCCAGGTGCCGTGGGCGGCTGCACCGTGTCCATCTCGCAGCCTCCTGTCCTCGAAGTGGACTACGCGCAAGGGGCCGTGACCGTGCCCTGCTTCTTCTCCACGGTCGGCTGCCCCCCTGAGGCCCCCAGCAGCCTGTGGTTCCGCTACGGGGCTCACCGGACGGAGACCCTCTGCGTGGACGGGTGCACAAGTGAGGCCGACAAGTTTACAGTGAGGAAGGCACAGAACCAGGTCTCCCTCACAGTCAACCGGCTGACGCCCAATGACAGTGCCATCTACATCTGTGGACTCGCCTCGCCCAGCTCAGAGGACCCAAGGGCCAAGGAGGCCGGAGCGGGGACCGTGCTGGTGGTGAGAGGTCAGTGGTCACGGCTATGCTCCAGCGCACCGCACGCTGCGCGGCCTTTAAACACACTGCCCACCTTCCACTCGGAGCGCACCACAGCTCTGCCGACTTAGTTCCTTGGCCAGGGAAGGCCAGCACACGGTTTGGTTAGAAAACCCCTGGGAGCCCCTCTCCAGCCTCCACAGTCGGCGGGATGTCGGCACTCCACCCTCTCCCCACGCCCAGATGTCATGAGTGAGGGTGACCTTTCTTGTGTGATGGTGAGTGGTGGAGCGTCCCATGCCATGCTAACCCCCTCTTTCTTAGGAACTGGCCCAGTATCACACCATCTAGAACAGCGGTTCTCAACCTGTGGGTCGCGACCCCTTTAGCGGTCGAAAGACCCTTTCACAGGGGTCGCCTAAGACCATCCTGCATGTCAGATATTTACATGACGATTCATAACAGTAGCAACATTACAGTTATGAAGTAGCAACGAAAATAATTTTATGGTTGGGTCACAACATGAGGAACTGTATTTAAAGGGCCAGAAGGTTGAGAACCACTGATCTAGAACAAAGCACTGCAAGGGCACATAAGTGATTGATAAATTGGACCCAGAAAAAATATGCATTATGGAGAATAAATACAAATTTGGGGAGAAGCCAAAGGGTATCCCTGACCCTGCCATTCTGTGTGCACAGAAGAGGAAGGGGCTAGCGGGGCTCTGGCTCTTGAGATTTGTTAAAACCCACAACAATTTCCTCATTCAAGTGAGGACACTGACCCTAGCCAAGTCCTATATTTAAGAAATTAAATTTTTAAACTTAGGGATAAAGCTTCACATAATGGGAAAAGAGAGGGGCAGTAACTCCCAGACTCCATCTCTTCCCTTAAAAATGACTCCGGTACGATGGGCGCTGAGAGCATGGACACATGGACTCGGTGTGCACCAACCACCGTGCACTTGCACAGGACTCGGCAGGCCCGCTCCCCTCTGCATCCTGCTGTTCGTTACTAGGGTGTCCTCATAGGCTCTGGGTATCCCACTGCCACCTAACCTTACTTCACTCTCACCTGTAAGATAAATTGTAAATGAACTAATGTGCAAAGAGCACTTTTATTGGTGCCTAGCTTATAGCAAGTCCTCAATAAATGTTAGCTACAGACATGAGAACAAACACACGACTCGAGGTTTGTACAGCTCACTGCATTGGTCCTCTATAAAAACAGCAGCCATAGAAAAATGCAAGCTTGTATGAAGAGAAATTCTAGTTTTAGGAGCAGAAATGAAAGTATTGCTAATACAGACATGGAAAATTCCTATCTTCTCCGTAGAACTCCTAATTTAGCACTTGGAACATTTTTTAAAAGTTTTCCCACTATGGTTAATTTGTTAGTTTCAGAACAAAAATATACATTGTATAAACCGAGTTCACAGGATAAGTATCTACAGGTATGTAATTGAAAAGTACAGGTTATTCAGATAATGTTTACAAATCAAATTGTATTTTGCACTTCAAATAATCAAGTACTTGAAGGCAGCATATGACCCCGCCCCTACCAAGAGCCCAGCACACTTCCTGCAAGCAGGGAGCATTCAGAATGTGAAAACGGACTTAATCATTCTCCTTCCAAGACTTCATGAGCAAGAAGGGGCATGGAACAGCAGCCGCTGTTTAAGAGTGTAACATGCACTGTGGCCGCCACGCCAGGCCGGCAGGCCCTTCCCAGATGGCGCTGGTCAGCTAGCGTTCTCAACAGCTCGAGGCCGCAGCGCTGACAAGCACAGGGACACATCTCCACCCACAGACAGATCCCAGACACTGCTCACCGTCTCCACCAAGAGCAGCCTCCCATGCCCTTGAACTAACTGTCTTGAAATATCTAACTTTAAATAACGCTTTATATAAAAAGTGATTCTTACCTTTGTGACAATTAATTGGATTTTAAAACTTCTTAGTTTTAAAAACAAGTAACATTTTCGGCATAATACATTTAAAAACTGATGAACTGGCTTTCACTATAGCATATACTTGAATGTCTTTAAAATCAAGGACCATAAATACATTTTTATGACTTGCCAAGCGGAGTGTGTGTTTTACCTCTAAAAGGTAGCTCAGCTGAGCCTCACATGTGCACTCACAGTAAGTTCCCACTGACTGGCTGCCTCTGTTCTGCATTTACCCAGAAGCGCGAGGCCCAGGCACGGCCCTGCGGGGGCTCCTGGCGGCTCTGCTGGCCCTGCTCTCCGTCTACGTGGTCGTGGTGCTCGGGGTCTTCGTCATCCTCGCCAGGGTAAGTCCAGTTGCCTTGCACTGGACCCCAAAGCCTGACTCTCCTCACAAGGAAATGACTCCCACCCCTCCACGCGGAGCCTCAGAACAGCTCCCCTCGCGACGGGCTCCCTGAGTGGCGGCAGGAAGACCGCCTGCCAGGGAGTCAGAGAAGCAAGCACATTTTCATCCCAGCAATCGTCACTGACCAGAGGACCCAATGTTTTCTCTTTAAAACCTATATTACTGGAATAAGGACCCTTCTTCAAAACCACCTTATATGCTATCTGTCTGCTGGGGGCGGGGGGAGTTAAGAATGAGCAAAAGGGGTCTGGCCAGTGCGGCTCAGCAGTTAAGCGTTGGCCAGTGAGCCAGGAGGTCAGGACACATGACCGGCGCGATACCCAGTAGGGGTACGGGAGGCAGCCGATCAGTGATTCTCTCATCATTGACGTTTCTATCTTTCCCTCTCCCTTCCTCTCTGAAATCAATAAAAATATATATTTTTTAAAAAAGGAATGAGCAAAAAAAGGGTTAACAAAAAGATCAGGAGCTGCCCTAAAATATTTTTAAAAGGCCTAAAGTTTTTGAGAAAGAGTACCTATCTCCTGGCTGCTCGTATGCTGCTATAAGAGGGGGTCTATGTGTGTGATATCAGGGTTGCTATAAATACAACAATCAATATCAGTCTGAGTTATTTTATTAATATAATAAAAGCATCTCAGAAACGGCATGAAAATGATTAATTTTTCCTGTATAGCCTTAAATACTGTTAGTTCAATCTTATGGGAGGTGTCTGCCCCAATTGTTTTGAGTACATAAAATATCTCTTAAAATTCTCCTTTTCTTTTTGACAGTCAAAATTTAACACTCTAAGAAACAAAGAAAAAGAAGATTCACAAAAGGTACAGACCAATGCTTGTAAGATATCTTTTACATTGTGGCAGGTTGTAACTATTTCAAATCTGAAACAGTTTAAGAGACACAGAGAGCATCACGGTAACTTTAAACCATAGCTACTGTCTCCTATTGTTGAGAAACTCAATGATAATCTCAAATGATAAACTGGGATTTAAACTTGATAGTTCTCAGCCATAAATTCAACTTAATATACTAAAGATATCAGAGTTAATGGTAGGATTAGGTATGCTGGGGAGGGGGCGGTGAGGGGGTGCAACATCCAGCACTTCCGGTCCTAAGACAGAGGCACTGTTTTCTCATTTGTATTTACAGAAAAAGAGTGCCAGGCGTATTTTTCAGGAAATTGCTCAAGAACTTTACAATAAGAGACATGTGGGAACAAGTCACCAACCTGTAAGTATAAAGTATGAAAAAGATGTCATGCCATTATACAGCATGTTTGACTAAACACTAAGCTGCCGATAAGCCATCGATAATCACGGCTTCCTGTGGAGGAGTCCAAGAGAGGGCTTTCGCACGCAGCACCCCAAAGGCATCTGACACACAGAGACCCGGCAGGCACCGCAGTGACATGGACTCTGAGAAGCACAGTGGCTATGGCAATGCTTTCAGTGTGGACGAGGGTGCTGGGGTCCGCGGCTCCTCCATATAGTATGCAGGGGGAGACGCCGCACCAATGCTGCACACACTTGTGGATCGCGCTATATCGTAAACATTATCTGTTGCTAATAAGGCAGAAAGAAATTCACACCTGGAAAGACACAGCTAATGGGAATAAAAGCTGAATGTGTCTTCAGGCTCCGGGGCTGGAGTGGCGGGAGGAATGCCCGACACCTCGGCCAGTGTCTCGCCAAAGCCCTGTGGGAACAGGTTTCCCAACAAGACGCTGGTTCACAGCCAGCAGAGCGATACTCAGATCCCATGACACGACCAGATGTTCAGATTTGAGTTAAAATTATACCGAACACTGAACGTACGTACTACAAAGGGCATTTTCCTCCTAGACGGCAGCTAGAGGGCAAATGGAACAGGTTTATGAGAGAGGTGCGTTTTTTAAAAATCAACTTTTAAAAAGAGATTTCATGCAGGAGAGAATATCGTCTAAGGAATCATTTCATTCTTTGGTATATATGCAGATACACAGAGAAGTGGTATGCCACCCAAGATGCCGTTCTGAATAATTATAATGCCCGTTCACACTCTTTTCTCAGTGAGGCTGGCATCTTTTCCAGCAAAGGGGCAAAGTGGCCTGCAGATCGGCCTAGGCATCAGAATTGCAACATGCTTAAGCCAGGGCTTTGGCAATGGCATCTGAATAAGAAAAGGAACTTTTTTTTTTTTTGCTAAATACTTGACCTTTCAAAATACTGGAAGGACACTCAGGACCCAGAATGCACGATGGCACTATATGTTGTGTTCAATGTGGCATCAGTGATTACATAACCTTAAATATGGCTTATTGACTATTGCAGGAGAAAGACAACACTTATGAAAACAGGACAGCACTGGACAACTATGAAAGACCATAGAAACTATTTAATCTTCAAGCAAGTCACTGAAAATTAGAAGTTATGGTAGTTTTAATGGACATATACCCACCAGGGCTTTAGAAACATAAACAAAGATGAATGGAAAAGACAACTGGGCACAAGTAAGGATGCCGGAGTACAAGAAACTACAACTACAATAACTACCACACACTCAAACTCTGTGAAACTGCACATACTTCCCTAACTCGCTAGAAGATGCTACACTCATGTGGTCAAGATCAACACCCTGGTCAGGCCTGATGGAGAGAAGGCGTGTGTTCAACTGGCTCCTGACTATGACGTTTTGGATGTTGCCAACAAAACTGGGATCATCTAAACTGAGTCCAGCTGCCTAATTCTAAGTCTAAAAATTTTACACTGTATAAATAAATAAATAGAATTCTAAGCATTCTAACATTTTCCAGAAAGCTCGTTTTTACACCATGCATTCTATATTTGCCTCATTCAACATGAGGTGTGTGATGACCATTATCCTGAAGAAGATCTAAAGTCATACCATATGCCTCAGTCTTGAGTGGAGGAACAGTCTATGGGTTGTACAAGTGGTAGGCCAATGAGATTAAGCTGGAGGGGCGGAAAGAGGAAGGCAAGGAAGGAGGGAGGGAGGAAGGAAGGGAGGGAGGGAGGGAAATCTGAGCTGGAGAAAAATCACCTCACAAAGTACCTTGGAGCAAAACTCATCTCCTTTCCTACTGCCTGGGCATTGCATAGCACCCATTCTCAGCCAGGTATGCACAAAGCTGCCAACAAAGAGTGAGACTAGCATAGAGCAGAGTAAGAACACAGTAGCTAAAATACAGACAATCCAAAGCATTAGGTTGAACAGAGAAAACCTCAGAGCAGATCACCAGAGCCAACTCTGCATGTCCATGTTGTGCCAAGAAAACAGGTTATGGATTGTTCTTTGAAGGCTACTTCAGTGCAAAAAAATTTATTTAAAGTGCCTTCAAGTGTACACTCACTACTAAATATGAGTTACAGCCTATTGCTTTTACTTCATTAAAGTGTTTCTTTTAAAATGGCATTAAATAAGTGTACTCTTATTTTTAAAACCCAGATAGAATTTTTAAATATTTTAAGATCCCTTTGAAAATGTTTTGCATTATGGATGACGTAAATCCATAATCTTCGACCTTTCTAGTTACACATGCCAGAAAAAATGGAAAGAGGGGAGCATGTAAACACATTTTATTTGTGTGTATACGTATGTTGTATATGTATGTTTTATTAAGTGCAGTGTATTGTGAGCATGTATGTGTGTATCTTAGACATCAAAATAGAAATTAAACAATTGGCATAAAAAGTAATATATAGTTGACCCTTAAACAGTGCAGGGGTTAAGGACACCAACTTCTCCCCCTGAGCAGTCAAAAATACACTTATAACTTTTGATTCCCCAAAACTTAACTACTAATAGCCTACTGTTGACTGAAAGCCTTACCAAAAACATAAACAGCCAACACATATTTTGTATGTCATATATATGTGTGTGTATATATATACATATATATACACACATATATATCTATATATATATATACACACACACACACATATATATTTACTATGTTCTTACAATAAAGTAAGCTAGATAAAATGTTATTAAGAGTGCCTGGTATATGTATAATGTGCATTGTTTTTTTTTTTAAATATATATTTTTCCTGATTTCAGAGAGGACGGGAGAGGGAGAGAGAGATAGAGACATCAATGATGAAAGAATCATCGATCGGCTGCCTCCTACACAACCCACACTGGGGATCGATTCCCGGGCAAGTACCCCGACCGGGAATTGAACTGTGACCGCCTGGTCCACAGGTGGATGGATGCTCGACCACTGAGCCCCGCCAGCCGGGCTGATGTGTATTCCTTTATTCATCCGTCTAGCCAACAATACTTCCTGAGCACTTTGCGAGTGCAAGTCGAAGGTCTCTGCGTACTGCCCTGGGTCCTGCCGAGCGTGCCCTTCCCAGCCCCGGTCCATGCTCTCGTGCTTCTTCTCATCCTGTTCCCTCTGCCGAGCAAAATGCTTCACAGAAACCACATGGCTCCAGTGTCACCTCCCACGGAAGCCCACAGCACCTTGTCATATTTCCTATCAGACTGCCCCCTCCACTGTCTATTTACATCTGCCTTCGGTACTATTCTGTGAGCGTTTTAAGGCTAGAAGCATGTTTTTCATTATATCTTTGTATTTCCACTGTCCAGGCAATGCCTGGTACGTAGTAGGCTCTCAAATGTCATTATATGAATGCAACTGAACAATGTTTCTATAGAAAAATACTTTTCCTGCACTTCAACTGAACTATGACGCACATTCACTGCTTAGCCATCGACCCTCAAACCCCTCCATAAAGACTGCTTGTTGAATCCCTACTATTAACATTCCTATTATCTGAGCACCCAGAATAGGCACTGGAAAGGATTACACTGGAATGGATTTCCATTTAGATTAAGTTTCCCATAACAATGAAAACAGAATAATACTGAAAGAACTAAAGAGAGAAACAGACTGAGCCATGTTGTCTACACACCCTACAGGGCACTTAAACCACATACAGAAAGCTGGTGGTGGGTTTTCAGAATGAGCCCACTCCCCCTGCTGTGTAAGAGGAGAACTGCACCTCTGGCCAATAGGAATGCACCTGAGTCTCTGTGGAGCAAGTCACATAAACCCATGCCAAGTGCAACCTCTGAGCTAAAATCAGAAAGTAGGTTATGATCATTATTGTTAAAGGCGCTTGACAGGCAGATCTAAAGGACACTGACAAATGTTTCAAACGGAAGAACTGTGAACATATATGATTAATAAAGCCACAAATAAAAACGAAGTAACAACAGATGGGATAACATAAATCTGGCATGGCAAATGCCAGTGCTAAAATGGACACGGTTGGGCACTACCCTATACATCAGATTATTTAATCCGCACAACATACCTCCAGGTAAGTATTAGCCCATTTTACAGATGAGAGGCCCAGGTAGTAAGGGCTACCCATGTTTCTAACATAGGCTGGCCCTCAAGGCCCAAGTTCTTTCCAGGAAACAGCCTGTCAGTCTTGCTTGTTCTATTTTAGACAGATGGGAGCTTTCAGACGAAATGTGTCTAATTTAACTAGAACAATCAGCATGGAAAAATGTGAGAAAGCTGCCAAAGGCTACCTTTCAAAAAGCATTGGCCTCGCTGCTGTCACCGGAGAAAACTACTGAACTTCCCAAGAAAAGATATCCACATGCCACTTAAACTGTCCGAGCGCATAAAAATCTTCCAAATCAGTTTTTAGAAAGCCAGCAGAACACCGACAGCAAAACATGACACAGATAACATCCACCAAATAAACAGAGGCCAAACATCATTCACCAGCATTAATGCTCATATTTTACTTAGAATTTAAAAAAAACAATCCAGTGATATGCAAGACGATCCAGTCTAAACCCAGAACTGCAAGGCTGGATATATATAAGAAAAGTGCTTTTAGTTTATGAATTCAAAGGAGAAAAGGCAGGATAACCACACCTCCATCAATGTTGAAAACACCAGTGAAATATTCAATAGTAATTCCCGATTTTTTAAACTCTTAATAAAACAGGACTTAAAAAATATGTAGCTCAAGGCAAACAACAGCAACCTCAAGGCAAAAGATAGTATCATATTTAAAGTAGAAACATTGGGAACCAAGATGGCAGCATAGGTAAACACCAGAGATTGCTGCCTCACAAAACCACCTCAAAAATACAACTAAAAGACGGAACAGACATTACCCAGAACCACAGGAAGGCTGGCGGAGGGGAAGTTCTACAACTAGAAGGAAAGAGAAAAGCATACCGAGACTCAGAGGAGGCACAGTGTGGAAGTCAAATACTGAGGTGCGGAGGTGCGCGCGGAGCAGGCTGGTGGCTGAGGGAGCGGTTGTCTGTTTCAATCGGGAGGGAGTCCCAGACTCTGAGCTCCAGATCTGGGCGAGTCTCTAGGGACCCAGACTCAAAAGGGAGAAGTGGGACTGTCCGGCATCGGTCAGAACTCGAGGGCAGCTTTCTTCCTGAGGTTTGCAGCGGTTGCTTGGCTCTGAGAGGTGGAGCCCCTAGGGATGGGACTGAGAGCAGCCATAACTGCTTGCTCAGAACGCCCTGTTGATCCCCTGGGACCTGTCCCGCCCAAGCCCTG